TTAAAGCAGCTCTATAAAAAGAGCAAACAGAAAGGAAAATGGACTCATTTCTGATGAAGATGGCTCAAAAGTTTGCTTCCCTTTTCTTTCCAAAACTCCTGCTTGCCTTTTTTAAATTTTTTTCCTCCCCAAAAAGAAACTTCAGCTGGGGCTATCCTGAAACATTCTTTGGTGAGTGGAAACCAAACGAAATAAGACAATGTAAAAGAATAGATGTTGAGCAACAGAGAGGGGGAAAGGACTTGTAGACAGACCATTTGACACTTATTCTCCCCTCCTATTACCCGTCAAAGTACTGCAGGGCTTTCTACACGTCAGGGCAAAGCCACCAACAACCTGGCTGGCTTGAGAGGCAGAAAATTAGGACAGGACCCACATTTCTGAGAACCCTTTGTAGGCTTTATTTAAAATGAGATAAGGATGAAAAAGGCAACAAGATGCTTGACAGATATAAAATGATGAGAATCTAGCTTATCTCCTTTATCTTTCGTGTCATCTTCTGCTCTTTGTTTTTTTGTTACAACAAATGTGGGAGACATTGGGGAAAATGTAAAGGCACAAGCACCAAGGACATAGCACCAAGAAGGGAGGACTAGGAAGATGCTCAATAAAGGCTGAAAAAGTCTCTTTCCTAGCAGAGGCTGAGCGTGCTGGCTCTGGTCCAACAAAGCACTTAAGCATGCACCCAACTTAAATTTGACTTCACTAGGGCTCTTCACAGGTTTGAAAGTTAAGCAAATTCTCCAGCAATCTGCTACAGCAAGACCAGAGAAAACAAGAAGCTATCAAGGGACCTGAATCTTGGTGGTCAATAGCAAGGTTAGCACGCTTTTGGAAAGCGCCCTAGCCAAAAATCAATGCAATATGCCACTTTCCACCGACTTAGGAAAACTCTAGGCCATCAGAAAAAGCTTCTTAAATATAAAATAATCAGTAAAAAAGAATCAGATATGAAGAATATCACTATCAAATTGCCTTCACCTTCTTTCAGCTCAAGGCAGGTAGTGCTTGAAGTAGACACATATTTATAGGTACATGCAGAACTGGAACTCCCTTGTTTCAGTGCAAGCTGGTGCCAGCTTGAAAAAAAATATTGAATTCACTGTGCTGCTTCTTGATGTAGGAAACACTATCCTGTAGGTAAAGCACCGACCTCAACTGCCTAACGGCCAGTTCCCACAAGCAGCAAGGTAAGCCACAAATAGCTCCTACAGCTCTGGCAAGACGCTGCAGAGGCTGACACTTGGCGAAGGATCAGAGCGTGTCCCACCGCATCTCTCTGTTGGGTTTGTTTCCCCCGTTAAAACGGGCATAACTTAACACTGCTGCTGCACATCGCGCCCGCCTGGCAGCGCCCCAGGGAGCTCCAGTACCACAGCGCTGGAGCCCCGCGAAGACGCAGCACTCGGAGCAGCCCGTCCCTCGGTCAGGCTGTTTGCTCACCACCGACAGGCACGGCCGCTGTCACCGGCTGCTCTTCCTGCTCCGCGTCCTCGTACGACTCTAGGGTGAGCCGCAGACAGCGCTGGCATCTCACAGAGCAGCTATAACACCTTTTGGCTTAAAAATTGTTACTCTAATGGTAGTGGAAGAAACTTAAATTTTAAATCCAAAGCACTGCAAGAAGTTGTAAGAGCACAGAAAAGGCGTATTTAGGCATATGCTCCCTACATACACAGAGCTTAATTACAACAAAGCAAGAAGCAAAGAACAATTAGTCTTTATTAACAATTAAAATCTCACTGCAGTGCTGGTTTCCCCCCTAGCAAGTTAACGCCTGTACAGTGAGAAAGTCATGATAAGCAGGCTTTTAAAATTTAAATTGATTCAGGATAAACGTGAGAAGTGGTTCCCACAAGAGGCCTTAACTTTTAAACTGAGCAGCATCTGCACCTTCCTCAGACCCTGCCTTGCAAAGCTTGCTAGCTCCCTCTGCTGTCTTCCTCCTGCGAGCCGGGTCAAGGCTGGCTCCACACCCACGGGAAGCAGGGGCAGGTGAGGGGCTTTTACTGAAGTATCCCCACAGCTGGTGGGAAGGGCCCTCGGACCCTCTGCAGGAGCCAGCCGGGGGCAGCCCCACGGCCACCTCCTCCCTGAGCGCTGCTTCAGCCTCCTCCAGCAGCACCTGCTCCACCAACAGCATTTATTTTACAGCCAACCCACACATTTTATTTATTACCCCTTCGTATCCTCCTCTTAAAGAGAACTGGTGCAGGGTACAAACTGAGGGTCAGCTGGGATCAACTAAACCCTTTGCCTTCACACTGCCAGAGTCAGGATAAATACAGGCAAGACAGTTTCATTTCCCCACCTTGTATCCGAAGCACAAGCAGGGAAGCAGGCTGTGGGATGACTGGTCTCTTCCACCATGCAGTGTGTAGGTCACGTAACACCGACAAAGTTACAACAGGTAGATTCCACGGCAGCTGACCCTCAGGGTGTTATTCTTGCAGACCACTACTACTTGGTTGAGCGGAACAGCAGCGCATCGCAGCACTGACACGTTCAACGCGTACAACTCCTACGTGAGAGAATTTACAGTGACCCCCCCCCTTTTTTTTTTTTTTTTTTCTTTTTAAAAGGACCACCCAGCTGCATGTGGCAAATGTTGTTAACACATGGCTCTTGCCAGCACAGCTCCTGGCAGAGCACGGCCCAGGTCAGGGTGGAATGCTCTAACCTGTACAACTTGCAAAGCAAAACAGACAGTTTCAAGGTTTTTAAATCGTTACTTGAAGTACAAAGGTTGGGGGAGGCCCCAAACATGCACCAACCATATCCTCCTGAACAGGGCAAGGGCACTCTTACAACAGCTCTGAAAAACAGAGATAATCAAGCAGCACGCTGTAATTATCAAGCATTGTTCCAATTCCCATTTAACATCTTTAGATACCAAGCTATTTTAAATAAACACACACACGATGCTGACGAAGTATTAGTCGCGTTGTCTTCACAGATACCCTCTGAGCCAACACGGACTGAGCAGTATTCCAGGCTAGCAGCCAGCAGCAAGTTTCACAGTTTCCCAAAACGTCATTCCCTTTTTCATGCCCAACCCAGGAAGAACCTTGTTTCACCACAACGCTGAAGTGAACGCACGAGTACCTTCTGGCAATCCTCTGAAGTGGAGACGCTTTACACGTGGAAGAGGCCAAAATTTCACAGCCCCGTTTTTATCCAGATTTGGAGAGAAGGTCAGCTTTTTACACTTCACTATTTGAGGGAAAACAGGTAACATTTCAGGTTGTGAAGTTCTCCTTGAACTTGACAGACAGCGTAACATGCAGCTGTACGGGGATTTGATTTCCTTGGGACTACAGCACATAAAGCTCACTGCAATGACAGAGCACCTCCAGACAGCACATGATCTAGAAACTCATTTCAGCAGCTCCTTAGCATCACGTAACGTTACCAACCGCCAAGTCTATGGGAGCCTGAGGTTTAAACTAAAACTAAAGATTCTCCTTGGCACAGCAGCAGCAGCTGGTTAAAGACAATTGCCTTTTGCCACCAGTTTACATACTGTTAGCTAAATGTGATCTGTAGGAAGATACTTCCAACAAATCAAGAATTCCATAAGGGATCAAAATCCTAAACATAAATACAATTAAAGCCTTCTAATATTAATGCACACTTTTTATTATATTAAAATCAGGCAATGGTCTCATACAATAAAAAGGCTGCTTATGGAATACTGTTATGTTAAACTTTAATTACAGAGGATGTTAAATCCTTACAACTAATATTTTCCTCGAAAGAGTTAATGGAAACATCAATTGTTCATTGACTTGATAGCTGCTGCTTTAAAATGTGTTTATTTTTACTTTTTTCCTCTTTTTTTCTTTTTTTTTTCTTTTTTTTTTTATTTTTTACACAAACACTGAATTTTTCATAAAACTTAGGACACACTAGGTTGGCTGCATGTAAGCTTGCATCCACATTTCAGCAGTTAGTGGTCCAAAAGAGTAAACCAGAAAAGGCAGTGATTTGCCAGGATGCAAAGCCAATAAAGGTCCTTAAATCTTCTGTATGCACTGCTACCCCAAGATCTCCACTGAAGAGACTTCTCTTCTAAGACTTACAGAGTCCTAATAAAATCTATGACACTGATTTGATTTGTCTGTAGTTGTCACATCTTTAGAAGGGCCAAACATAAGTGCAACATTTCATTAATTAACATTCTCGGGTCAATACAAAGCACCAAAACACAACTATTTGAGCTGGAGCATGTGTTCAGAACCTTTACATGCAGAGTTTCCCCATTAAAGTTTGGCAGCAGCAGATTTCGGCAATCCTGGTAAATTACTGCTCTTTTCACCACGTCAAAAGCCTATCTAGTAACATCAGCCGTGGCCAGCTTGGCGGTGTGGCAGCAGTGCTGGAGGGACAGGGACAATCCCAGTTTGTGAGCAGAACAGATACTCTTGTTTCCCGGGCTGGTGAAGACTAAATTTGTTGCAAAACCAAAATGATAAGCAGGAGGGAACAGGTCAAGTTATTGCCCCAACGCTTACCCCTGCTGGCCAGGGGTGAGAAGAGTCACAAAGAGGGGCAAAAAGAAAGCAGCACCCCCACTAAAAAGAGGGGAAGAGGGAAGAGATTAAAAGAACCCTGAATCCCTCACCCAAAGCCCACGTCACTGGCAAGGGGGACCAGGAAGAGAAATACAATCTATGCCTTGGCCAAAGGGTAGAAGGAAAGCTTGCCCCAGATTATCAGAGCATTAAAAAAAAACAAAACAAAACAAAACAAACCCAAATCCAAAAGAAAACCAAAAACGACCACAGTCACATTCAGCCTTTACTAGAGATAGCACAAAGGGAGGGATGACTGAGGTTAGCACACATCCCCATTAGTAGTCCGTAAAGCCCAGTGTAGTACTGGAAGCAAAAACCTTTGTGTCTACTCTAATAAATAGCCCTGAGCTTCGACTCTATTGCAAAAGACAGAAAAAGAAAAAAAAAAAAAACCAAAACAACCCAGGCCAGACACACAGCAAGGTGATTGTGGGATGTATGCTTTCACAGTTAAGTTAAATGTGCCACACTGGTCTTGACAGTAATAAATTTAAATAGACTTTTCCTGATACCAGAAGTTCAGCTATGTGGACAGTGGTTACACGACAGGATTATTTGTTATAGCACAACTTATATTTCAAATGAAAAAAAATTAGTATCATTTACAGTATCTCAAGAAAAACTTCCTTTGAATGGGAACTTCCTTTCCAGTATTTTGAGGTCTACAAGATGCATCTAGAAAATTTACTACTGTGGAAAATGAAGACAGCTTAAATTGAATAAAGGGGCATGGTTTTGTTTTTGTTTTTTTAATTAATTGCTGTAACATTGTCCTTCAGGTGGCTGAGGAAGTTTCATATTTTCTTTAGACATCATTAGACGCCGAAGCTCTTGCAGAACGACTTTGATACTATAAGAATTCTGCCATTTTGCTAGGACTGATATGGCTCTGGGGTCCACCTAAAATAGACAAAAAGACCACTCCTGTCAGAATAGATACGTTTGATACACTTAACTCCCCCACACACCCTCCAACTAGAGATCCTACAAGAAATCTGAGCGGGAGAAACCAAAGAAAGCAAAAGAAAGTAAGTGGTTTCCTAAAAGCATACTAAATCCCCACGATGCAACTATTTGTGAGTTACAAAAGGGCAGGAAAAGTCAATTCCACGTTTTGATTTCAGAACACACTTGGCTCCTATGCTCCCCTTCTACCCCCCTTTCCTTCTCCTCAAGGCAAATGGCACCAGCAAGCAACAAGGAGTTCCGCAAGTTGCAAGTATGAACAAAGCATTAATTCGAAGCTGTGCATGAAAACCATGTTAAAATGAATAAAAACCAAACACTTACCACTCCATTAGAACTATTTACTCCATTCATATTAATTTTTGTTACAAATCTTACAAATGGAGGTGCTTCTGGATACTTAGGCCCACATTCTATTTTAAGGCTGTATATTCTGTTTTCATAAATTGTCTGAGGGGAAAAAGAAAGGGGGGAACAATTACATCAGGCAGTTCAATAGGCATTTGGTTAAAACAGTGGTTACTTCAGGGACACGCAAACTACTAAACATAAGGACAGCCACTTATACACTAGGCTGGCTACCCCTGTTTCAAGTTCATTTTATAACATTCAGCGTATCAAATGTTACCTCTTGAGGGTAATAAATTCTACTGGTCTTATAAGCATCAAATTTTCATATAAGGAATGAAACTGGTATTGCTTCGCATTCACCAACTGAAATGATTTTTTTAATCAGCATGCAGCTCAGGTACCTACTTTTCAACCAATCTTTATAAAGCAGTTTTGTTTTATCAGTTTACTAATCAGACATGGTACCTTGAAACCGAAGCCACGGCTTTAGCTTAGGCAACTATCTAAAGTCAGCCTGTCCTAGAACTGCACTTGAAAAATATTCTCTGGTCATAAACCAACGTGCCAGTTCTCAGAAAGCGGAACGCTCCAAGATTCAACACATTGCAAAGTACATCCTGATCCCCACCAGCATCACCACTCTGTCTCCACCACAGTATCGCTCTGTTATACTTCACAGCCAACAGAAATCCTGGATCACGAGTTTTTAACGAACCAATCAACAGGTACAGAAAAGAGATAGTTGTAACAAGGCTACACTGATTCTTCAATATTTAAAATTAATTAAAAGAAATAACAGTTAATGTTATTTTGCATTCTGAGAGTAACTATTTTTGATGTGCTGATCCAGCGCAGCCTGGCAGCGAGCTCGGGCTAAGCTGGGCAATGCAGGCAGCCAGCAGAAGCACACAGCAGGAACAGGACCATCATGGGCAAGTTCAGGCAAACTCTCCAGACTCACAGCTTCTGACACCCTTTCCTGCACGTTCACCACTGTAACAAACATGAAACTCAGGAGCAGCGACCAGGAGCAAAACTCCAGAGAAGAGCATGGGCAAAGAGGCCCGGAGGCAGCCACCAGCTCCTGCTCACCCGTGGCAGCAGGACACGATGGCTCCACCAGGATCTTACGAACGGCTGCCCTAAGTACAAAAACTTCGCAATATAAAACTCCACACGATCCCTTTCAAGGGCCTGTTATGCCCCTGGCATCTTAATATTCCCTTAATACTAATGAGCATTTTGATACAAACCACCACCAGAAACACAAGAACCGACTTCCTGATCCAGCTGCTCCTTCGCTGGGGAAACGAAGGGGCTTTAAACCAGCCCGCAGGCACCGCGGCAGGACCAGCACCTGGCCAGCGCTGGCTGGCAGCGGCACCCGCGGCCACTCCTCCGGCACCTCACCAGACAGCCTTTCAGATGTCCAGCCAGGGTGGTGACAAACTGAATGCTGTCACAAAATTTTTTGGGAAAAAAAAAAGTGATCTGTCAGCTCTGCTCGGCCTGCCATGTTTCCTGACCGAGTCCCTGAGCACGCCTTGTGCACAGAGCGATTAACAGCCCAGCGGTCCGTGCAGGTTTTCGGGGCCTTTGCAAATAACCACAGCCTTGACCATGCACGTGTCTATAGCCAATACAAAATATGCACAGGTAAAGATGAAGTTTTGACAGTGCCACTGTTTTTAAATAGCTTGTATAAACAAGATGAATCACTGCCTGCGAAACCATCCGCACAGCGTCTGGAAAGGAGAAGCACGCTTCCATGTATGGTAGCAGGGACACTCAGAGCAGCAGCATGTATCTAACTCTGCACCAAGGTTCATTCTTCCCCCTGGGATGCCAGTCTTGTACCTTGTAACAGAGGCAGATTGCCTCAGATCTCTGTGGTTCTTATTATCAACATTAAGCTTACTTGTACCACAAGAAATTTGATTCTGTAAAGAATCCTCTTTAGCTGTGGCCTGGCGGTATATATACGATGCCTTATTTAACAGAACACCTGTGGAGGAAATAAAGTACACTCGATGAAAATTAATTGTTTTATTACTGACGTGATCGATTGCTGCTCTGTGCACTTCATTAAACTGATTGTGATGGGTTTTCAGTTGTTTAGAATATGTTGCTTCAGTCTTTGGATTTCTCAAAGACAACTTCAAAAATGAAAGCTGCAGAGAGAAATGACCATCACATGTACGTAATTGATGCAAATCTGGTCCTTTTCTGGTTTACTCTGCATGAATGTTCATTCATACAGTTGAGAGGGATTGGTGGTTGTTTACTTTTTCCCCCACCATGTTAGAACATGAAGTGGTGTCAGAAGCCAGTGGAACTTTTCATTGCCCTAATTTTAACCTGTGTTAGTCATTTTTCTCCTGCACTGTTTGCAGACTTACTTCCTTTCTCCCCTCTACCCATGCTGCCCCGAGGGCCCACTCCACCTGGCCTCACTCCCTCGCTTTGACAACTTGCACGCCCCCTGAAATGCTGGAGTGACTATCACCTTTCCCTGTCACCTGCCACAAGCGTGACTGCTTTCTACCCAGAAGGAAATAGGATTTTTTTTTTTTTCCAGAGACAGTATTCCCACATCCTATTAAGAAAAAAAATGGTAATAACATAACTGAGTATGAACAGTCCTAAAAGCAGGACAGCCACTCAGCAAACCAGAACAATTCAAAGTTCCCAGAATCTCTCTCAGTACAGCCCGTTGCTTTCAAGCAATAAGCTCAAAAGAAGTAAAGAAACTTTGGAAAAAAAAAAAAAATCTGTATTCATAAGTGTGTCAGAAAGACACAAGAGGCACAGCTGAATCATCTTCTGTGATGGCCCTCTAGCCTTGGTTAGCAGCATGACATGAACTACGGATTCCTGTCACGGCTGACAAGTCAGCACACGCCTGTTTGCACACTGCGGCTTCTATTTAATCTTCTAAATTAGATTTCAAGGTTGCTTAAATTTTCCGTAAAGCGAATGCACACAGTGTGCTTTCTTCACAGTTTCAATGCAGGCTCATTAACACTCTCCTAATGTTCTAAAATAAAATGCTGTTCCAGAAAATTATTTGGGCACATCATAAACAAATTAAATAATCACGAATGGGGAGATGTTAACAATGGCAGACAAAAAGCAAACAGCACTTCTGGCTGAGACAGAAAATACTGCACATGTAATGCATTATAATATAAATTATTGTACAAGCTCACCGTGTGTCAGAAAAGGCAACTGGTAGAATGGAAACACGTAGGGCAGTAGCGTGATTAAGGGCCTGTAAAGCTTTCCATATAATAGATTGAGAACATGAGAATTATTGAGAAGTGACACTGAGAAGTGACCAGATATAGAAGACAACATCTATTGCAGGAAGGAGAATCTGCTACTTGCACTTCATGGCAAGGGTATTAAAGATCAGAACAGAGATACACAGTAAAACCGGAGACAAGTTTTGTTTTTAGAATACATGCATACATATAATGCACAATTACGTCCTCAAGTTCAGTAGCAGAGTGGAGACCCACAGTCTGGTAGGGTCTGGGAGGAGACGAAAGAGAACACAACACTACCATAAAGACCAGGAGCACTATAGGAAGCTACTTTGGGAGAGGACATTCAGAGAAGAAACTGAAGTAATTGAAGTTTGAGATTTCCGAGTGAGCTGAAACTCTACAAGAGCAAGTCAGTACTGCTGCAATAAAAACCAACCCATAAACTCAACGAGAAAGAGCAGAAAGACTACCAGTACTGAACAAAACATCCACGTTGTACCTACATTAGCTCCATATGTAATCACACTAGCCGAAGGATTTTAAACCTTGCTGTATTCAAGAGCACAGGATACTAGAATCCTGGAATCTCAAAAGTTATGTCTTAATGAATCTGTAAACATAAAGCAGACATGTAACAGAACTAACCAGAGAAAGGCACTAAAAATATTCCAAATTATAAGCAAAAATACATATAGATACATGAAACCCATTATTATACAGAACTTGAGCCTTCAATGTAAATCACTTGCTAAAGTGTTTTTTTCACTCATTTGTGTTTTGTTTGTTTTCTACTTCAGTGGTTAGATTAGGAGAAGAAAAGGGGGAAGGAAAAATGTAACAGTACTGTTTTAATATTTAAGTGGATACTTACTCTTGGAGGCCCAATAATCATTCCTGTCCATCTTGTAAGTGTCATATCTTCATCATCTTCAAGGCCCCAGCTAACTGTTCCATCACCTACTCCTTTCTGACCTTCTTCAAGTTCTTCCAACAGACGAAAATTACGAGGAACTTTTACTCCTGAAAATAATCAGGAAAATATTTTGAGTTGAGAAATCTAGTAAAGAAATAAATCTAGAGTAATTTCACTGATCTTTCTGGTGATCCTACAGAAAACATTTTGGGTAAAACCAGAAAAATATCACTATTTTTTGAATGACAATATTTCAACACTATGGACAAGTTATCCCCATATTTAGCTTTCATTTTACAAGCAAAATCAAGATATTCACAATTAAACATGCTAGAAGGCTGGCAGGCCAGATATCGGGGCAGGCAGTAAAATGAAAGGAAATTTCTGTCCATTCAGAGATGCACAGTATCATGCAGCTCTAATTAGCACTTGTCTACATGATTTATAGCACAAAAATTTAGAAGATTCTACAAAATGACACCATGAGAGGCTTGACTCCACTCAGCTCACTTGGAGCTTTTAAAAATACCATTCAAAGCAAGTAAAACTCTTTCATAACATTAGTAGGTTAATCTGAAGTTAATTTAAGTGGGCTTTGTCAGCAGCAATAGCATCCTTTGTACTTACGACCTTCACCACCACCGAGCTTCAGCACCTCTTAATTGCTGGCACATTTATCGTCAAAATGCACAGCAAAACAGGGAAAATTTCTTATCCTCATTGCATTAACAGAAAACAACAGCATAGAGAGCTCAGGTGACATATCAAAGGTCACACGCTAAGTCCGTGGTGAAGGAGGATCTCAAACCCAGGCCTCAAGGGACTTAATTACTCATTCTTCTTCAAGGTATCCATACCTCAGTCATCACAAAACATAAATGCACTCTAGGCCATCGCTTCTCCTTTGTACTGGGTTTGCATGGCAAGGTTTTGGTAGCAGGGGGGCTACAAGGGTGACTTCTGTGAGGAGGTGCTAAAAGCGCCCCCCCCCCCCATTCCCGACATAGCCAATGCCAGCTGGCTCCAAAACAGACCTGCTGCTGGCCAAGGCTGAGCCAATCAGTGATGGCAGTAGCACCTCTGGGATAACGTATTTAAGGGGAAAAAAAGCCTGCACAACACCAGCAGAAGTCAGAAGAGAGGAGTGAGAATTTGTGAGAGAAACGGCCCTGCAGACACCAAAGTCAGTGAAGGAGGGGTAGGAGGTGCTCCAGGTGCTGGAGCAGATTCCCCTGCAGCCTGTGGTGAGGACCATGGGGAGGCAGGCTGTGCCCCTGCAGCCCATCGAGGTTAACAGTGGAGCAGATCCACCTGCAGCCCATGGAGGACCCCACACCAGAGCAGGTGGATGCTCGAAGGAGGCTGTGATCCCATGGGAAGCCTGTGTCAGAGCAGGCTCCTGCCAGGACCTGAGGAGCCCAGGCTGGAGCACGTTTGGTGACAGGACTTGTGACCCATGGGGGACCCAGGCGGGAGCAGTCTGTTCCTGAAGGACTGCACCCTGTGGAAGGAACCCATGGTGGAGCAGTTTGGGAAGAGCTGCAGCCCATGAGAAGGACTCATGCTGGAGAAGTTCATGGAGGACTGTCTCCTGTGGGAGGGACCCCATGGTGGAGCAGAGGAAGAGTGTGAGGAGTCCTACCTGAGGGGGAAGGAGCAGCAGAAACAATGTGTGATGAACTGACTGCAACCCCCATTCCCTGTCCCCCTGCACCGCTCAAGGGGAGGAGGGAGAGAAATTGGGAGGGAAGTTAAGCTCGAGAAGGAAGGGATGGGGGGGGAAGTGTTTTAAGATTTAGTTTTTATTTTCTCATTACCCTACTCTAATTTGACTGGTAATAAATTAAACTAATTTTCCCCAAGTTGAGTCTGGTTTGCCCATGACAGCAACTGGCGAGTGATCTCTCCTTGTCCTTATCTTTACCCCATGAGCCTTTCATCATATTTGTTCTCCCCCTGTCCAGTTGAGGAGGGGAGTGACAGAGCAGCTTTGGTGGCACCTGAGGTCCAGCCAGGGTCAACCCACCACATCCTTCCAGGTACCTGTGGGAAGCATGTCTCCAACAGCAACAAAATTATTGCCAGGATATATTTAATAAAGTTATTTTCACCTGACATACAAAAAGATGGGTTTTGGGGTTTGGAGTTTCCCCCACTCAATAGTAAGAAGTTAAGTATTCACCAGCACATAACAACAGCAAATCAGAATTCTTCACTGTCACTTATTTAGTGCAGCAGAAAGAGAAGAGGAAACCAGCCTTTCAGAGTATAAAGTGAACCATCAATTTTCTCAGTCAGAAGGTAGCACTTCCAGCATGGCTGGGGCACTGAACTCTGAGGACATCAGAAAGGGACCAAGGGCTTTGAAAATCATCTCTGTAGCTGCTTGTCAATATGAGAAATATAGAGGATGTAAAGTATTGTGAAATCTAGCAGTGCTTAAAATCAAATGACTCTGGTAGTTTTAAAATCCCTTTGAAATATATTAATGACCTAAAGAAACTACATGTCAGTGATTATTTTACTGCAGAATCAGAGTTGCGCAAATTTCATTCACTACAAAGCAAGCACAAAAGAAACCAAAAAGGCAAATTACTAAAGGAATTAGATGTTGGCCAGTTTGATACACATCTAACATAATCACGTTCAAGAATATTGTGGTGAAACATGATTCAATAACACAGCTGTAGCAACAGTATGAAGAGAAACACAGAATCAAAAAAGCATCTGCATTGGCTATACCAAACCACACATACGGGGGCTGCTGAGCAAGACTCAAATACAACTCCATGCCAAATCTACACCTTCTACTCTGAGTGAGACCGTGCTGTTACCATGGCTGCTGAGTAATACAAATCTTTGGCTGCAAAAGCAAATGAGTCAGTTTGGGCTGGTGAAGCCATCGCCATAAAATTAACCGAGGCCCAAACCCTCGGTGGTAACAGGACCTCTTGGGGACCGCTGTCACTTCCCCTGCACAAAAAACTCCAGTGTTTCACTGCCACTAAGTCTCAAAAGTATGAAGTACATATCTTGTGTATCTCGAGCATATGAAGGCTGAAGTATGCAGTTCACACCTGAATCACGCCAGATTAGCCATCCCATTTTTAATTATATGCCAAATGCTCTCTGGGCTGCAGTTAGGGGAGGCAGAGAAGAGAGCAGTCTAGCTGCAACGCACAGTGTAAGAGAGCTGAGGGACCAGAGAAACTGATGGAGCACAAGTTGAAGGACAAGGTGCCACCTTTACTTGCAGACACACTACTTATTTCACTATTTTTGCTGCAGCAGATGCATGGGAGAGCCCATGATGGGGAATGACTCATGGCTGTGCGATGCCTGAAGCTGCTGTCTGGGCTTCAGCCCTGCCCACCGGCACCGGGGAAAGAAAGGGCCAGAGAAGAAGGACAAACAAAAGGCAAACAAAAGGTCCTTCTGAAGGGTGAACTCCACCCCTCTGACACAGCAGCTCTTTGACAACACAGGTGATGCCGCAGAGGAAACCATCCCTGACTATTATTAGAAACCCAACCTGAACCTCTCCCTGCTCACAGAAGCGATAAGCTGAAGCCAGCGGAAGACCTGCCTCGAATGTGTCACGTTGCCAAATAATAGTCTCTCTTCTGGACCACAACATCACGATGCTTAACAAGCATCTCTCAGTCTCTATGCTTCAGCACTTGATAATACCACTTCACAATTAACAGTGATGTGAAGATAATTTACTGATATTTACTTAGACCAAAACACATCACCAAGGAGGAATCAGCTCTACGGTAAGCAGACTCAGGCCACAAATCAAAGAAGGAAACCAAAAATATTGCCTGTCTACCCTTCTTCTGAGCATCACGCACCCTGTTTACCAAGTGAGGCAGGAATCCTGCATGAAGAAAATTTAGTGATCACGTAATTAAAGATTACATCATTACATATATATTCAAGGAGGTCACAATCAAGGCTGAAAGGCAGCCTTAATTCTGACATTTGCTAACCAGAGCTAGGCTTGGCTTTATAACCTTACAGGAAGAGAAGGCAACTTTATTTCCAAGCTCTCCCCAGATACAGCCACTCTGATTCAGCATGAATCAGAGCCATAGAAGAGTCACACAGGATTTTAGAGCTTTCTGACAAGTCTGAGGTCTACAGAGCGCTAGCTAGTCATATCATGTCCTGGCTCCTATCACACAGAAAAAAAAGTTCACACCAATGACTATTAATTCCACAGCAACCGCTCACTTGTGAGCACTGCAGGAGCATCAGTGGCAAAGGGAGGTGACATAATATTTGAGTTTTTATGCTATGCAATTCACAGAAAATAAAACGACCATGGAAGATGATTGGTCACTTTACAACAAACCTCTGTCCTTTTAGAATTGCATTGCTGCCTTCTAAAAATGTTTTATCCCTACGCTAAAGCTCAGGGGTGTAACACGGAAGACCAGCACCTCAGCCACTACAGAAGGCAAGTTCAGAGTCACATCAAAGATGGTAATCCAGCTCCCTCGCTGCCACGGTCTCGGGACATGCGACAGGAAGAAAACCACATATATACATATAAAAGACTATGGCCATATGATCATAAACACTTTAAATCATTTCTAAATAACCTGCCCTTAAGCAAGGCAGAATGAAAGACCAGATTCACCCTTCTGCCCAGCCTGGAAAGATGTCTGAGGCCATTAAGCCAACCCCATCTCCTCTACATTTGCAATGGCCCGGAGCACTCACGGTCAGCTACCACATCCTTCTGGGACCCAAAGCTCAGAAACCACACAAGCTTTATCACTTGTGGTCGTATGCAAACATATCATCATCATGTTTGCTGTCCACCAAGACTCTTAGAAAGTGATCTGATCTGTTCTAGGCACACATGGTATTTGCCAAATAACTTCCGTGGCTAAACCATGGCCAATTCAGAGCTAGGAGATGTCCTGTGCCAGCTGACACAGCCATGAGTCAACTGCATGTCGTCCTCCCACCTCCCCAATAAATACCTTGCAACACCTTTTCAGTGTAGCAATGGAGACTTTCAAGGCAGTAACCAAACAAACCTCTTTTTCTAAAGAGTCTTTCATTTAACACACAAAAAAAACCCCAAATAAAGTAAGATGCAATTAAAAAGTAATCAGGTTGTCGAAAGTACTTTCACTTATGCATTTTAATTTAGCCTTTACTACGGTTCAAGAAGACTCTTGAATAGCAGCTTCATTCGATACAAAAATACAGTATCTAGATAATTGCTTTACTTGTAGCTTGCCTGACAGCACAGAAATACTCCCAGAAATGAACTGAAAAAAACACTTCAGAGCAAAAGGAGATATTTACTATTAATCACAACAGCGAACTTATGAAAGCTAAATTATAACTGTACTGACAAGGTAAGATCTGCAATGACAGAGGTTTGTACAGTCTTTCTGGAAGTTCACTTTTTAGTAAACATGCATTTGTGAAGCCTCAGCTCTGCACATTGGTTCACCAGTTACAAAAACTTCATGAAGTATTTTTTTTGGCAAACTAGAGAACAAAACTGAACTCAGACTGAGTTTTCCTGAAAGTCAGGATACGTACTTTACAGAGTGTCACGGGTTGAGGCTGGGCCGGCCAC